TTTTTTTTTCTTTCTTGTTGAATATCAGTGATATCACACAGACACAGGTGGAAAAATACATGACTGATTTACGACTTCTAAGTATTAATAATTATTCCTTTGGCGTAAGTTTTTTTTATGAGGTTTCCTCACAACAGTGCAACATCATCTTCTGGCAACTTTCAGTTTACTGTCATGTAAGATATATTCAGAATAAATCTGGACAGGTATTGCACCATAACCACAAATCTCACAAATGTTTGCTTACAGGCCGTGGCATTTACATGATTACTCTCACCTTTTCATCATCTGGCAGGCTTATCACCCTCTTCTGAGATGATGTGTCCGAGTTATCTAATTTCTGGTGTTCTTATCTGCCGCTTGCTCTTGTTTAGTTTTAGATTCCTTTCTCTTGCTCTTTCCAGGAGCTTGAGGTGATCATGTTCTTCTGCTGTTTCTCCTCATACTAAGATGTCATCTATGATATTAAGCACACTTTCCAGATCTTCAAACACATGCGTGACTTCACACTGGAAGATTTCAATGCCTGAAAAAAGACACATTAAAAGGTAAACAAAGAAATATATGCCTTCCTCTTGTTGTGTGAATGTGCTGTTTCTTAAAGGGATAGTTCACCTAAAACTAAAAATTATGCCATCGTTTTCTCCTCCTGCTCTTGTTCTAAACCTGTTTGAGTTTCTTTCTTCTGTTGAACACTACCATTGAGCTCCGTAGTATCTTAGCTCCTACTATTGATGCCAATGGCTACCAGTTTCCATATTCCTCAAAATATCGTTGAAACTGCATGAGGCTGAGTAAATGGTGGGTAAATTTTAATTTCACATGATTTTACACTGGATGACTTCCATGCCTGAAAAAAGACACACCAAATTTTAAATTGACAAATTTACCAAATGGTAAACTGTAAATAGTGGGTAAATTTTAATTACGGGGTGTACAATCCCTTATAAACTTGGTTTATTTGCCTAAACTCTTATTGAGCACCCACATATGAGAACATTTGCATGATGGATACCAAATCCTCCCCTTGTTCATGTCAATTTATTCCTTTATAAAGACCTTTTGGATGCTGATACGCTCCACTGCGGTTACCATGCTGTACAGCCATTCTGTTTTGCTAATACACCCATACTTTTCATCTAGACCAGTGCTTCTCAAACTTTTTTCATCAAGTACCACCTCAGAAAAAAAAAAGATCTCTCTAAGTACCACCAAAATGAGCAGTATTGAAATACAATAGTGTAGTAGGCCCAGTAAAGCTGCTACACCTCTGCACAGTTAAAAGAACGTGGCAGATTACCTCAGAAATATAGGCAATATGTCATTTTATATAGATCATTTTTGATAAATGTCAAAATGTGTATAGCATGTACATGACATATTTCATTCCTCCGGGTACCACTAGAAGGAAGCCTGCGTACCACTAGTGGTACACATACCACAGTTTGAGAACCACTGATCTAGACCAACTATTTCCTCCTCGAGTTAAAGGAACCTGTTGGATGAACAGTCGCTGTGACACTTTGTGGTTTATTTTGATGTAAACGACCAAGGCCAGAAAAGTGGGGTCATCTTGGGGTCTCATTTTTATTTATGTAGTAATTTGTGTATTTTCGTTCTTCTAACCATGCTTTTTCAGGTCGTGCAATATTGCTGGTACCACTTCAAACTGAATATTGAGCTTTGTTTTCTTTATTAGGTGAAGGTAAGTTGAATTATTCCACAGGCGACATCTTGTGGCCAAAATATGTAACTTATTTTGTTGTTTGTTTTCTTGAAGTCCCATATAAAGTCTCAACACGACGCTACCCCGTCTTTAAATTAAACGTAATTAATACTATTTGCTTTTAGGTTTCCTGCTAAATCGTCTTTTTGATTATGTGTTTCAATACTGTTCGCATTTACCATTGTGTTGTTTGCACACACATGGTTCGTCTTCCTCTATTGCTTGTTTTTTGTTAGTGTCTAGCGTTCCAAGCTTTTTAAAATGGGTTTCTTTTGATGGTTTGCAAGTTTGTCCATTAGCTGGGCAGGTTTTGTGTTCATGTTGGTAACCATGAGCAGTCCTAATTTGCCTTGTGCAGAATTTCCATTGTATGACATTTACTTTTCTGTTTACCTTTGCAGTTCACTTCCTCCGTTCTTTGTGTTTTGGCTTATCTTGTTCACGTCGATTTCCACAGCTAACATTTTCATCTGATTTGACCCTGCAGGTGGAATTTAACAGCAGCATTTAAGCAAAAAAAACATGATGTGCAAATAATTTTACCAGTTAAAGAATAACATGTCTGTCTGTCTGTGATATAATTTAATGTAGTTTTGTCTTTGAATAGGAATGAACAGGAATAATCAACTTGCAATTTCTATAGGCTTTCATAGCTACTTATTTAAAAAAAATATGTGGTCCACATCAACTGTCAACAGTTTTATGTCCTGCTCTACAATATAAATTACACACAGCCTTACTACAACCATACATTTTTAAAGCAACTATAATTATGTGACAAAATGCTTTTTTATTTTAGGATAAATTGTAACATCATTGTACGACAACGTTATGAAAAAAAAAAAAACAAATTTCCATATCCAATCATTTCAATAAATCTGCTACAATAAAATTCGTTACACAAACTAACTCAAAAATGTTATTACATGATGAAGTCAGTCATCATGGAAACACTGCTTTAACCTTGGTTAAAGAAAAGTTTACAGTTATTTAGTATAAGGGTTAGCACAGATATTTACCCAGGGTTATAAAAGCAGAGGTAGCACTACGTTTGTGCTTCTCCCACACCATTGTGCCAACATGTGAAGTATTAGAACGCTACAGACAGATAAGTTGGCATGTTTTTTTATATTCACTTATAATAGTTATAATCCAAAACAAAACAAAGTCCATTGAAGTCCATAAAGTCCAAAAAACAAAGTCCATTGCCTGAAAGTCCAGAGTCCATCCACGTCTGCATATCCAATCATTGATATATTTGCTATTTACTTTTTTCACATAATTCGTTACAACAAACTATCTCAAAAATGTCATTAAATGATGCAGTCACTTAGTCATCATGGATCTAAACACTACTTTAACCTTGGGTAAAGGAAAGTTTACAGTTATTTTCATTTCAGGGTTAGCACAGATATTTACCCGGGGTTATAAAAAAAGAGTTAGCACTGTGTTTATGCTAAGTTGTTAATCCCACACCAGTGTCCCAAACATGTAAAGTATACGAATGCTACAGACAGATTTTATATTCACTTATAATAGTACAAAACAAAACAAAGTGCTCTGAAATTCATAAAGTCCTAAAAAGAAAGTCCATTGCCTGAAAGTCCATCGAGTCTACCAAGTAAAGCGGATTTGCGCTCATATGTGCGCCCATAGGTGTTCTGGTCTAAAAAGGAAGGCGTTCTGAGGCGCATTGCTATTTTGACAAACTATAATAGATTTTTCCATAGACCAGAACAAAGCCGGCGTTTGTTCCAGCGGTCTATTGTTGAGCGTTAGTTGTGCGCCTCGCTTACACACTGCTTAATACAAACAAGATGAAAAGCAACACGCAAATATCTTTACAGATGAAAAAGAATAAAATATTAAGGATATATATAGGACATAATAAGGATATATGGGATATAAATATAAAGGATTTAAATATTACAAAACATATTATATTCTAGCCAACATAAATTTACAAAGCATACTTTCATGCCTTCTTCATCTCGAGAGGCTTTTTCAGTTCATTCATAACAATTTGCTTTTGTATAATGTTATTATTATTATTAGCAGTATTATTTATTATATCCATATTTATATTTGTTTATTAAAAACAAGCTTAGATTTGTCCACCTGTCAGGTTTAAGACCATATGGGGCACAGCATGTGTATTAGGATATAACTCAGTATTTTGACCACACTTCGTTATTATTGTTTATTTATTCGTTGGCTGGAAATTAGAACTGAATTTAGAAATAGTTTTGAAACAAATATTCACACTTAACAAACGAAATTAATTATTTATAGACTAATTGATGTCTGTGCGTACAAGGTTTCCCTATCCACAAGAGCGAAAGTGAAAGTAGATAATGAGAGGCCTTATCTCTCATTCTGGCGCTGCAGATGCTCTGTTTAACGGTTTTCTTGCTTGTGAAATGCTGTTTTTCCACTTACAAAGTCGTCAGGTAAATAGCAAATGCACTATGGCACGACGCAACTTTGGTTTTTATACCTTTTAAGAACTTTTAACATTAGTCCTTAAATTAGCAAAAGTGGATTCTGACACGCCCTGAATGCATTTGCGCCCTGCGCTTTACACTTTGCGCGTGGATCGTCAAAATAGAGCCTTTCATGTAAACCCATTAAAATAGGTACAGTAAACATAAAGGAAACCCTTTTAAACCTGTTTTTTCACCAATTAACTTTTTCAAATAATAGTACTGATGAACATTTTGATGACATCTATGCAAATACTAAAGGATATTAAGATTCGAAAAGAACATCTGTGATTGGTGTGAATATAGCGGGGCGTACAATCGTACAGATGGATTCGAGTAGGAGTATAAAAGAACAAACTCAACTTAAGGTTAATGTGTGAATGTCTGATCGTCTCAGTTGTCACTTGTAGCAAAAATCGTGGCTACATGATATATTAAGTAGAGTTCATTTAAGGCAAAATTTCAGTGTGAATAAGAGATGCCCTTAATAAAAGGTGACTCATTTGATATGACCATTTATGGTAGATGTTTCCATTTTTCTAAGCTATCCCTTGCAGTTTCCATTAAAATAATTCCATTTCCTTGAGACACCTCGAGTTATTACCTCTAATGTTTTAAGTGTTGTTTAAGCACATGATGTTTGAATTCATGTAGAAGAGAATAACTGGACTTTTGCACATATAAAAAAAATATATATATATATATATATAATATTACTAACTGCTAAACTGTCTTGTAATAACTTTCTTTTGAGTGTTTTTTCTGGGTAAAAAAAAACACTCAGTGGAAACTCCCACATGTTCAAGTGCAGTAAGCATCATTTCCTTATACAACATCAAAGATGAGCTGAGCTGGCAGTCGAAGTTAAACTAAAGAAAGCATGAGGGAAGAAAGCAGATGGTTAGAATGACAGCCTGATGGTTAGAGGTTCAAAGAGGTAAAAAGAGAAGACAAACAAAGCAGAAAACAGACGGAAGACAAAGCCAGAGTTGGTGAAGCTCGACAACCATGAGCCGCAACTTTCTCTGTGCTTTTCTCACCCTCGCCTTCTTGGAATCAGGTAACTTCATTTTGTGTCAAATTGTTTAAGAAAATGTAATATTTGTACATTTTAAATGTACCTAAATCACCATAAAGGTTTTAGATGTAGTTTGAGCAGAGGATGCTGAAGTTGCTATGTCACCGGAAAAAGCTATAAATTGAAAATGGTAAATGAAGACATCATGCATTAAAATGTTTTAAACGAAAGCATATGCCTTCCGCATGCACCACTGAAATTATGATTACCGACACTTTCACTGACAATATTTTATATAGAAATTAATACATTTTTTATTATGGGATTTAATTTAAGGATTCTCTTAGCCAATTTATTTTGATCTGAACACGGATTTTGCATGGATTTTTGTTTTAATAAAAAAATAAGTACAAAAACAAGATAATTCAATGAATTTACTAAGATAAGTGTTTTATATGGACTAAATTTAACAAAACAAATTAAGTTGAACATTTTGTACAAATTGTTTGCAACCACACTGTAAAAATCGATTATCTGAAAAATGAGTAAATTAATTACCTTCAAATTATTAAGTAAACAAACTATATGCATAATTACAAAAATGAGGTAACAGTTCTAAGTTACAACATAAATATGCACATTTTTAAAGTAAAATCAACTTGTCATTTTTTAAGGGCATGGGTTTACTTACTTTTTTAAGTAATCGCTTTTTGAAGTACAGTTACCTTAAAAAATGTAAATCCACAGAATCTTTTTTTTTAGTGTAATCACAGCTTGTAGAGGTTTCACCATGCGTCACCAGCTCTCCCAAATAAATGTTTTGTATATAAAGTCCGTCAAATATGCAATTAAACAAAAATGAAAAGTTAAACAAAGTAAAGAAACGGAAATAGCATTTTTTGTAACACACACATATTTAAAATCTTTGCTTAACTGACGCTATGTATAATTTAACACTTAACCATTTAAAATCTAAATTATTTTTTTACTTCAATTAATATTTACAGTGTATTAAATAACAATAAAGTAACGTTTTCCACAATTCAAACACCTTGAATGTAAACATAGTCTTGTCTGAAACTTTCTTCTACATTTATCAATATTTTTAGCATTCTGTCTCAGTGATCCTTGAAATCACTACATTTTTTAAAATTGTGTGTATGTTTTTTTTTTACCAGGCAAATCAAACAGTGATGTGTCTATCAGTCACCGCTTTACCGGTGATAGCCAGAACATTACTTGTGTCCTCTTGGGAGACGAAAACATGACACAGATCAACTGGGAAATACTTCATGGCCCAAACCACACTAAACTGGGCACGTATCATCCTCATTTCGGCATACATATTATGCATAATTATAAGACTAAAGTGGAGATCAAGGGCAGACAATCTCCACGTCCGTCATCATCATCCCTTCTCATTAAAATAGCATCAAACGAGAGCGTGCAAATCTGTTGCGCGTTCATAACATTTCCCTCAGGTAAACTGGAGCAGTGTGTGGATATCAGTAAGAAAGATGCCAGTATCGACACATCTAAAAAAGGTAATGCTTCTACATTGCCATTCCAATGGGATGCGTGATTCTATTTTATAATAACATGCTGTTTTTTGCATAGAGTATACTTACATGCAATCAGAACGAAAGCTGGGATTATTTGGACTTTTGGGCGCAATGATTACCGGAACTATTCTTTGCCTTTTCATCCTGATCCTCCTGATCTACTTATGGAGAAAATGCAATTGTAGAAGGTAAAGTTATCACAATTGTTTATATGAAAAAATGAAGACTGGTATTTCACATTTCAGGCTAAAATAAAGCAACAAGTTTTATATTCAATGTGTCTTCTTCAATGCAATCTAAAAGAAATATTAATGACCTTGCAGGATAAAGTCCTTTGAAATACGAACATACATGACAGACTCGCCGGCTGAGGTAAGAAATGTAAACAGCTATAATGAAGTAATTGAAATAAATAATACATTTGAAATAATCTAGTGAATGATTGATGAGAGTTAAAGTTTCTGTCATTGAGAAGATGAGAGGGGTTAATAATTGATTGTTCTACTAAATAGTAATTCTAAACATGTCAATATTTGAAGGCTCATTCAGTCCCATTTTTAATTCCTGAATGATCAATTCAGTTCAGTTCATCTTTATTTCTATAGCGCTTTTGCAATGAGGATTGTGCCAAATCAGCTTAACATAGAAGTTCTAGATTGAATTTGTGTCAGTCCAGTTTTCAGAGTTCAGTTTAGTTCAGTTCAGTGTGGTTTAATAGTCACTGTTCTTAAATGTTAACCTAATTAAGCCTTTAAATTGCACTTTGAGCTGAATACTTGTATCTTGCAACATAAGTAGTAAAATAGTACATCCTCTCATTGTGGCAAAGACCAAAGAAATATGTTATTAGAAGTTAGTTATTAAAACTATTATATTTACATATGTTGAAACAATTCTCAGAGGGCTAATACATTTATATGCAGTTACAGACGTGTGAAAAGTGCAAGTGCAGTGAATTGTTTTATTTACAGTGCAGTTTCCTATCAGTTTTAAATGCACTTTATCATAGTAAGTGATTTCATTAAGGTTGTCAGTTTCCTGTTATTTTGTAAAGTACATGATGTGTGGTTGTGGTTAAAGCTAAAATGCTGCTCAGCATGGCCGATTCTCACAGCCCATGTTTGCCACAACTTTTGTGATTATTGTTTCAGTTTAATTCATATTGAGAATTATTGGTTAAAATGTAAAATATTTGAATACTTCTAGGTATTTTGGATTGAAATAATGAAGCCATCATGCAAATGCAAATATATTACTGTATATATACAGTACCGGTAAAAAGTTTGGGGTTCTTTTAAAGAAAACGATTCTGTTCATCAAGGTGACATTTATTAAAAGTAAAAGTGAAATTGTTAAATATTTATTAAAACTTTAAATAACTGCTTTCTTATTGTATGTAGTTTCATATAAAAGTATTCCGCCAGTCTTTATTGCTTTTATTACTATTAACATTTATAATAATAAAATTAATAATAATTAAAAATTGGGGGTATTTCTGAAGGATCATGTAAAAGTGTTAAACTGAAAATTTATCTTTAAATTGACTGGAATAAATGATTAAATTAAATGATAAACTATTTTTGAACAGTTATTTCATAGTGCAATTGTTGATGAAATAAATGCAGCCTTGTTGAGCAGGAGAAGCTTATTTTAAAACATTTACATCCTAGCCAAACATTTGACCAGTAGTGCATGTATTATTCATATGTAGTATAACATTTTAGTATATTTTATTAACAGTATAACTAAACAATCTTAAAATGTCTTCACTTTAGGGCGAACAATCTGTTGATGCAGCGACTGCTCAAAGTTCTCCAACTGGTTTTGATCCCTCAAAACTTTATGCCAAGATCAGAAAAGACCTTTTCTATGGCCGCTTGTGGAAGTCTTATCAAGGGCAGCCTAAACCATAGACTCAAGGTGCCGTGACTGATCACGGACCTGTTTTTTCATCAAGGACTCTAAGTATAATAGCACAAAGAGGATTGCAATGTATTATTCAATTCAATTCAGCATTTTGTTCACAATAATTAATGTTTCAAACCAACTTCACAAAAGGTGCATATTACTGCATTTCAATCAAATTGGGAAAAATTAAGTGCATTGGTTACCATAAATATTAGTTACTAATAACTTATCAACTAGTAACTAATAGCTTTATACTAGTAACTAACAGCTTTAAATAGTATAATAAATGCATTATACTGTATATAAACATATAACCTGCAGTTATAAAACATATACTGTAGATGATGTTCATGTGTACATGTACAGAAGTGTAGTTGTGTATTATATTAAGGCAATGATTAAATGTATGGATATTTTAACTTTTAAGATTAATAAATATAAATCGAACACAAAATAAATTTATAATAAACTTATATAACCCATATTTAGAGTCAGTAATTTTGTAATATGTCAAGTCTTTTAAGTCTGAGTAAGATTTAACAAGTCTGTTTCTATGTAAAAATATAAACACATCAAAATAAGGGTAATAATAAAATCTGTTCTAATCTTTTATAATAATAAATCCTTACATTTATATAGCGATTTTCTAGACAGTTAAAGCGGTTTACACGTTGGGGGTTATCTTTTCTTCCACCACCAATGTGCAGCATCCATCTGGATGATGCAACAGCAGCCTTATTGTGCCAGTCCACACACCAGCTGATTGGTGGAGAGGAGATGAAGCCAATTATGATATGGGGATGGTTAGGAGGCCATGATAGACAGAGGCCAGTAGGCAAATTTGGCCAGGATGCCAGGGTTTAACCCCCATTTTTTTTTTTTTTTTTTTTTTTTAGAAGGACATCCTGGTATTTTTAAGACTACAGAGAGTCAGGACCTCAGTTTAACGTCCCATCCAAAAGATGAATATATATATAATATTATAATATATATATATATATATATATATATATATGGCCAGTGAACTTCACTTATTGGGGCAGTAAATGTTAAAAATGTTACACACTTCCGTTATCTAGCTGTTAATGACCTTATACTTCCTGCTTGCGGTTACAATTTTTTTTAAACAACCAAAACACATTTGTACTATTGATAATATTGGTTCATTGAACTTATGGTTAAAAAAATAATATTGGTTTATTGGACAAAATTGTAATTTCGCCTTCTGTGCGCTTGGTGGAGCTACAATCTTGTTTTTTTTTTTTTTTTTTAAAGGAAACACCGAGGAAATGGCTTCAGTTTGGAAAAAAAAACAGTTTTTAGGACTCAAATGATATTTAAAACTTACTAAAACGTCTTATAAAAGGTTTTCGTGCCCACTAATTTAAGCCGGACTCTCATATGGTTGGATGATTGCTATAGCATACGACGAAAGATGTTGTGCTGGGTTATTAAAAACAAACAAAAGGTGTTGAGGCGACGTAAAGACTGGCCGTTTGAAACATTCAAAGTTTTACATGCCTGCAAGAGTAAAGTCCATGTCCTGCCGTGGAGGAACTTGTCAAAAATCGTGACCGCCTTCTAGAGCTCAACGTCACAATCACACGAGTCTCGACACGTCACGCGGTGAGTCCTGCAGAACATCAAACACCACATTACTGAAGAATTAAATAGATAGAGAGATATTCTGCATAAGCATTTCTGAGATCATTATTAGTTGTAAAGTCAGCTATGCATTGATTATATTGCGTTATTGACTGTAGTTTCATTTACATGTTTTAATAATGTTTAATGTGGTTATGTGATCAGCAAGCCTTCTTCTTCTGTAAATAGGTTTCCTTACAATTCATTGATATTGTCCCAACTAATGATTTAACCAGGATGTGAATTATACATTGACAATCAGGGGGGTTAACTTATTCGGAAATAGAATTTTGTGTAATATGCTTTAGTGACTCAAATTAAAGAAATCTATAATGCAACATATTTGATTTTTCAGTGTTTTATGGGATAGTTTGTGTATTCTGGCCTACAATATCATGTGATTAGCCATTTAAGAGGTTACTGGTCAAACTACAAACAACCCATCTCATTTGTCTTTACTTTTAGGCTATATGTAGAAACAAGCACCTATTTTACAGGAAACGTGTTTTGTGAACACTTTACGTTTTCCATGTCTATCGGCATTCACAATGGCATAATCCATTATAGGGGTGGTCAAATGTATATTTATATGATCTATTATTTAATTAGTAATATTAGTATTTAACATGCAGATCAGAGTAAACTCTTTTCTACTGTTTAGTGGACTGACCCCCCCGTACATGTTATTTTCACGTCTTTCAGGGCAATCAAGCATTAATTAGGGGAGTCAATCCCCCCAAAACCCTCCTTGTAATTCGCATCCTGGATTTAAAAGTAGAGTCAACATCAAAAAGTAAGTTGTCCTAACAAAATCTCAATTATTGTGTTGATTCAGCGTATTCTATAAGACTATAAGTAGTCTGAATAAGCAAAAAAATAAATTCTGGTACAGTGAGCAGCAACACATAATAGACTCATAAGTTGTTAAATATACATTGCTATTGTTTATTACACAGACTAATCTTGTAACAATTACAACTTTTGTATTTTTAGATATAACATTAATAAAAATGATGAAATGTTCTAGAAAAAAAAATGTTTTTAATGTGTTTGACCATCCACAGTTAACCTGAAGTAACTATGGCTTCACATTGTGTGGGTGAAAGTGATGGACTGACCTTCTATCTGGCCAGACCAGAGGATTACGATGACGTGATGGCCATATCACACGACATATACGGTGGTATGGACTATCTTCCACATCGCTATCACTCCTGGATAACTGAGCCGGGAAGAGTGGTTATTATAGCACGCAGAGATGAGAAGCTGGTGAGCCATTCGAGGAGGGAAAAAGCTTTGATAGTGTTTTCTGATTTCAGACAGAACCCATGAGAAAAATTCATTACTACTACAAGATTTTTTAGCAATATCTTCATCTTGGATATAGATTATATACTAGATTATATCATAAAAACCCCTAAAATAGCACGTAAATTGGCAGTATTGTAAAAGCTTGTTCATATGTCAATCAAAGGGACACTGATGTAAAATTAACATTTACAGTACGCATTTACCTTATGGACTACACAAATAATTAACTGTTATGATAGGAAAAAGTTAATGGTTGAAATATACTGCACGATGTCTATTGAGAAATACAAAGCTTGCCGTTTTCAGCAAAGACAGCTTGTGGCTCAATTTAACCACATCAGTGCATGTGATCTGTGCTGATCACAAATTTTATTGACTCATGACCCATATACCTGAACTCAGAACCTGAAATTTATACCACTGGACAGCTTTGATCGTCAAGAACTCAAATCAAATGAGGCCATCAACACCATTGTAAAATTTTGTAGCTAACCTACAATAGTACACGTGTCATGCACCTTTATGATCACTTGGGGCACTTTTGCACATTGTTTTTTGTACTTAGCACATAAAATATCAAGAAAAGCAATCGTGTTTTTTTAGACTTTTAAATGCTTGTAATCACAAAGATAAAGGAAAATCTAGTGTTTTAGTTTTATTTTCATTTGTTTTTATTTTTTCTGAACAAAAACTGACTATTGTCAATGTCAATTTTATTTATATAGCACTATTAAACACAACCAAAGGTTGACCAATGTGCTGCACAATACAAATCACAAAGAGAATGATATAAAATTTTAGCCAAAACAAACAATTCTCTGATAAAATTCCAAATTAAAAAAGGTAAGTTTTCAACCTATATTTAAAAACAGACAGAGGGGCAGAGCATTCCACAATCTAAGACCAGCTACTGCAAAAGCACTGTCACCGATTTCAGCCTCGACTTAGGGAGCTATTGTAATCTCTGGATTGATAACAGAAGAGAGCGACCGGGGTTGCTTTTCCCAAACAACGACATAACTCGCGGCTGAGCTATCATAGTACGATGAATCATTTGGGAAAAAAACAATGTAGTGACGAGTGTTTCCCAAAATCCGTAGTTTCTCTGTCGCAGATCCATCGTTTGAACCACATTAGTTATAACGTAAAATGCCCATAATGATGTTCTAAACGGGGTGGAGTAATTACTTCTATAGAGGAGAACCCCATAATTTCTTTGTGCAAATTATATTGTTTCACACACACACGCATTAAAAAAAATTCCAATATTAGTTTTGGTCAAAACATGAACTCGCCATATTAATTAAAATATATGTAAATGGCATATAGGGACTATGTTTCCTTTACAAATATCATAAGAATCCTCAACATTCTATTCTAAAACATAAAATCACTTACAAAAGCTAACACGTATTCTAATATCATATATAAATCATATAAATAAATAAAAAATGAGGCTATTTATTAAAAAAATATATTTAATTTTTATTAGGAAATGAAAAAAATCCTACTTTAATAATAATATTAATGATGATGATGATTATTATTATTATTTATTTTTTGAAAAGTCTACTTTTACAATTTGACACATGCAAATCACTGCAGAAATGTTCTAACTAACAGGCCCATATCATATACAGTAAATAACCTACTATAAATTAAAAGCATTAACGTATGCTTTGTTTTTGTTTCATATGCTCTGGAGACATAACATAAATTCCGCTTTTAAATAATAGGTCACCTATAGCTTCGCCATGAGCCACAGTTGTGTTCAAAATGACATAAATGTTTTCAAAGTGCACTGCGAGGGGAGCGCAATTGTAAACATGAAGAAAAACTGAACTGTAAAAATTATTGAAAGCAAATTACACCAAAGAGAGATTGCTTTAATGCTTTTTTTTTTTTATAATTCTAAGTTTAAATGCCATAATGTTCTAAATGAATAGGGCATAGGGGGATAACTGGTAATTGAACACAGCCAGGAACTGTTTCTAACTACAGCTCAAGAGGTGTAGTTGCAAGCATACAAGTTTGTGGCGCAGTTTGTGGATGTTCGTTGGAACGATCAAGAAACGCCGTTGAGAAACGCCAAGTCAACTAACTGTAACGACAGAACTTGCGACCTTAGTTGGCTAACGATGCACCCCTGGCTGATGTTCAGTCAACAGTTCTGACAGATAAGAAGGTGCCAAGCCATTTAGTGATATAAAAACCAAGAGAAAAATGTTAAAAGTGACACAACAGTGCACAGGCAACCAGTGCAAAGAGACTGGTGTAATGTGGTCAAGTATTTGGCACCGGTTAAAAGCCTTGCAGTAGCATTTTGAACTAACTGTGAACGGGATTGTGTTGTCTGACTAATCACATAAAATAGTGAGTTACAGTAGTCCAACCTGTAAGTAATAAAAACATGAATTATTTTTTCAAAAATGGCCTTTAGACAGAATAGGTTTAAAGCTGAAAAAAGCAGGATTTGACCACTGCATTTATATGTTTGTTAAATCTCAAGCCATCATTAAAGATAACACCCAGGTTTTTTACCCAAGGCTTTACAGAAAAGCTTGATTTACCGAGACTTACTGTTGGTGGCTTAGAACAATTTGATGGGCCGTACACAATTATTTCAGCTTTACTCTCATTAAAATCTAGAAAGTTCAAAGACAACCATGCTTTCACATCCAACAAGCAAGACATAAGAGTCTCCAACCCAACTGAACTCAGTTTTAAGGGCAGGTAAATTTGAGTGTCGCCTTCATAACAATGGAAGACAGACCATGTTTTCTATAAATAGAACCAAGTGGAAGCATATATAAGGCAAAAAGAATAGGGGCTAAAATAGATCCCTGGGGTACACCACATGACAAAAATACTGCTTCAGATGAATGTTTACCAACGATGAATTTAAAACTGCGATTGAAAAGATACGATTTAAACCAATCCAGGGCACTTCCGTTTATCGCTAGACATTGCTTCAAGTGGGCCAGCAAGATGGCATGGTCTACTGTGTTAAATGCAGCATGCAAATATGCTATGGACATATGACATGGAAACTGGAATATTATTGCAGTTTATTCTCACAATCAAGAATGAACCAATTTGTTGTGCATTCAGTTTTATTGTTTACTCAACTCCACAATTCTTTTATTTATTTACCAATAGTAGCTAATGAACTGAATGTCTCACACATTCACAGTAAAAATCTGAACATAATATAGATCCTGAACTTTAATATTTTCCATAATTCTGCCTGTGCCTGTAGGTGGCCTTGGAGTCAGGCCTGGTGGTTGACGGGGGTGAAACTGTGGTAGTTGAAGGACTGAGAGTTAGTCCTCATGAAAGAGGCTGTGGTCTGGCCGGAGTCATCCAGACATTTGCTGATGGCTACGTAAAGAAGATCCACCCCAGAGTGAAGAGCAAACGCCTCACCAGAGGAGATGATCCCGGGCCTGAGAAACTGCGCAAGTTCGCACTTCTGGCCAGACGGGTGAGCTCAAATCATACAAACATGAGCTTTATTTACAATCAAGTTAACGTAATATCATACATTTTAATTTTATACAATTATTAATTAACAAAACGTGTGTCCAGACAAAATGTCTATATAGTTTGGCTTAGTTTAAGGTTGGGAAGAAGGAGACTGAAACCTGTCCAGATTTTGTACCGATACCAGTGTAAAAAGCATGTAACTAAAACCAAAGCAGAAGCTGAATGTTTTAGTGCTGCTTAGACCTGGTTTAAACTGTCAATTCATTGTGACTTTATTTTTGCATATAAACGACAGTTTGGATATATTCTTGATCATAGAAACATGAAAAAAACAAATGTATGCAATCGGTTTCAGCCCTCATTCATACAGTCGAGGGCAAAGTTTTTAGCCCTTCTGTACAAATATTTATTCTGGAGAGATATTTAATGGAGCAAGGACATGTTCACAGTATTTCCGATAATATTATTTCTTCTGGAGAAAGCATTATTTGTTTTATTTTGGTTAGAATAAAAGCAGGTCAATATTATTACCCCTCTTAAGCAATTAATATATGTATGTATGTATGTGTGTGTGTGTGTGTGTATATATATATATATATATATATATATTGTACTAGATATTTTTTAAGACACTTCTATACAGCTTAAAGGGATATTTAAAGGCTTAACTAGGGATATTTAAAGGCTTAACTAGGTCAATTAGGTTAACTAGGCAGGTTAGGGTAATTAGGCAAGTTATTGCATGATGATGGTTTGTTCTGGAGACAAGCGAAAAACAAATTAGCTTAATGGGGCTAATAATTTTGTCCTTAATAAGGGTTTTAAAAAATTAAAAACTGCTTTTATTCTAGCCGAAATAAAACAAATAAGACTTTCTCCAGAAGTAAAAGTATTATCAGACATACTGTGAAAATTTCCTTGTTCTGTTTGATCATTTGCGAAATATTTAAAAAAGAAAACAAAAATAATTCCGACTTCAACTGTATGTGGAAATAAATTGAATCCAAATCGGATTTGTGCCAAAGTGACTGTTATGCATACAAACAGATTGGATTTTTTATTTGTCATTGTCTATTAAGAGTACTTGGTTCCCAGAATTGAAAAACAAATATAGAGAACTAAATAAGACTTTTGTCCATGTGTAGGATTTATTTCACAGCCCACTTAAATTTTATTTTTCCAATTTTACTTAAAATATCAAATCTATAAGCAATTATTCAGTAAAAGGTTTGAGAAATTATTGTTAGTCGACCAATCAGTCAAGGGTATGCAACCAAAGACTATAGATGTTAGTTACCATATACAAAAACAAAAGTTTCCTCGCATTACCATGAAGGAAGAAAATGCAGCGTTCAGTATGTCTGCAACAGCAACGGAAGTCCCGCCTTCCAGTCAAAATAGCCAAACGCAAGTTTTTATACTGTAGCCACATTTATCTGTTGAGGGGGGTCTGTACAGATTCGCTTGTTTGTTACGGCAAGTCCTGTCTTTGCACCAATGTTTGCTCTTGAGCAGTAGCTGGAGCAAACTGGATATTACATGTTTTAAATGTAATTAGGGCTTAAGCAACAACAAGCAGGTCACTTGTTTTGCTGATTTGATATATTTGTGAGTTCTAAGAGCAGATATTTCTGTATTCAATATTCATTTAGAAAGGACTGTGGTCTTGAATAGACTACACAGACTTTCCTTGAAAGGGACTTTATATCTACCACCTACACTTGACACAGAGATATAAAGTGGCCTTAACTATCAGTCAGCTCTCACCACAGTTCTCTTTCTGTCTTTTCATCCAGGCCGTTCTCTCACTATGGGGGAAATCTGAGGGTTTTGATGGCTTCGTCTCCAGTCTGAAGCAGAAACTGCTGGCGTCAGGTGTGTCTAACAGCAGCTTCAGGCCTTTAGTGTCAGTGCAGGACTCAGGTGCTCTGCAGGCTGTTCTCCTGGATCCAGATCTGCCCTCCAGGCTTCAGCTTCCAGGCGCCGCTCTCATCCAAGACTGGCAGCCCTTGAGGCTCGTGCAGAGTAACCTTCAGATCTTGGCAAGGCGAGATTTGACATGGTTTATAGATGGCTCTGGTGAGAAACCGATGTTTTTGAGTTTACACACGCCTCTGTACCCTGTTCCATTTGACGGAGGATCTCTGCGTTTTAATATCGATCTGTACGGGACAGATCCTTCTTTAGCAAAGACGGCACTAACAGCTCACCTGGACAGAGTGAAGAGTGACCTTCAGGGCATGGTGGTGGTTCATATTTACATGCATCAGACTCTGTGGAAAGAGTTGCAGCAGTTCTGTGAGGGTCACGAGATGGTCAGGCAGTTCAGGGATTACTGGGAGCAGCTGTTTTTGGAAAGAGATATATAATTATTTCTAGAGATCATGGGGAAAAGAAAAAGTTGCCCATAATACAGGAAAAAAAACCTTTAGATGATGTTTTGGATGAAATAGAGTAAGATTCGGGTGAAGAATTTGTTCCACACGATTAAACAGTCTGAGTGAAACAAACTCAGTGTATGCTTGACTTTAACAGATGCTGATGTTGGAAAACATGCATTATTATCTGCGTACCTCATCACTGTAATCAGATGTATACTGTATAGATTTTTATAGACTTTTTTCAAAATGCTTTTTGAAATTTAAATAGCTGCATTATTAAACAAAAAAGTTACAATTATTATTGTAAAACATTTTCAGAATAAAATTTAGTATTTTTTATAATTTATTTCATTTTATACATGTTTTAAAAGCCTCTAGAAATCACACTATGATGCTGATTTGGTGCTCAAGAAGGATTTTTTATTATAATTTAGAGATTACCAAAGTAGTGCCAGTGGGCCAAAGTTGGCCCATGATAACCTTTGATTTGGCCCGCCACCCCATTTGAGAAAAGAGGTAGAATGATGGTAGGTGGGGCGAATGCCTTCAACAGAGATTGTTATTTCTAAATCAACATAACCTTTTGTTTGTTTGTTTGTTTAATTGTTGAGCTACAAAAAAACTTGTTCAAATTAAATGTTGTGAATTAATTAGAATTAAAAAAATGTAAACACTGTCACTCGACAAATAGAGGACAATGTAAAGACTTCTTTCTTTCTTTTTTTTTATTCTTGTTTATGTAAAGCACTTTGAATCACCATTGTGTATGAAATGGGCTATATAAAATAAACTCAGCTTGCCTTGCTTTTAATCCTTTTTAAACAACTTGAATTTTTAATGAAGGTTTGCAAAAAATTTAAATGCTGCTTGTAAACGCTGAACACCGATTAAACTCTCATTTTTTGTATGATATATAGATTGATGAGACCAAAATTCTAATTTTATCTGGTTTTAGATATAAATCTGGTTTATAGTTTTATTGTAAGTACATTACAAAACAATTACAAAATTAATATAAATTATTATATAAAATAATAATTAATATGAGTATTGTAAGTTTTTTTGTTTGTTTATTTTTAAATATTATTAATTAGGAAATTACCATGGCAACTTTAATGTAATACAGTTAGTATATTTACCTGCGACCCACCACCCTCAATCAAGTTTGGTTTTTGGCTCTTCATAAGGGAAAGTTTGGGCACCCATGTTATAATTAATGCTGAAAACAGCTCTGCTTAATATTTTTGATAAAACTGATGCACTTTCTTCAGAATTTCTTCTTTGACTAATAAAAAGTACAAAACAACAGAATTTTATCGTATTTTTGTTTACATTTTTTCCTGGATTTATAGTTTTGTATTTGAGTTAACAGTTTTGTTTTATTAATCTACCGATGGCATTACGGATTTAAAATAAAAATGCTGTAATTTCAAACTTTTTTGGGCATTAAATGATAACAAGTATCAACTTTACATACATTTTTAAAAAAGGTTAGGAAATCTAAATTTGGTGGAATAATTAAATCACACTAAACAAAACTTTGTCTTGTGACCAGTTTTCATTTTTCTTAAAATATTTAATTTTAAAATATGGAAGAATTGTTATTAGTCCTTTATAGAAAATAGTAAATCCAGTAAATAACTAACTATACTGAATCAATCCAGTAAATCCTAGAATGTTGAAGTAGATGTGTATAGATACACACACATACACATACATGTGTGTACACACACATACACACATAGATGTAAACACACACACACACACACACACACACACACACACACACACACACACACACACACACACACACACACACACACAAACACACAAACACACACACAAACACAAACAAACAAACAAACAAACAGACATTAGCTACTATTGGTAAATAAATAAAATAATTGTGGAGTTGAGTAAACAATAAACACTTGAAACATTTTTTAAACCATAAACAACAACTTAAAAAATAAATCAGTCATGTAGACTTTTTTTCCCCTCAAAATAATAAATAACCAAGAAAATTCAGCCACAGCGTCTTGTTCTGGCACATTACATCTGTTAGTGGACTGGTTAACAGCAGTGACAAGAATAAAGGAGGTTAACACTCTAGAAAATCAGCCTCTTTTTCCAGCAGGCTGTTTGGTAATTGCCTTTCATGATGGGAAAGCGCACGAGAAGTCCTTGGAGGAAATATGTGACGTCTGAGAAACAGCCAACAGTGTAATGGATGTGCTGAGAATCTATCCATCAGCAAATTATTCTCTCTCTTTCCCTATCACACTCGTCCCTGTTGCTATTGTGTTTCCCTCTGCTTCGTAATACTCGCTCTTTACTTTGCAACCATGATTTATGTCTTTCCCTCGTCCTCGCTGTTCCACCTCTGTCCTTTCGTTTCTCCTCCGCCATTAGTTTCATGTCACTTCTGGCTTGTCATTACACTCATTTAGTTCCAGTTCTGTCTCTCAAATACATCCGTCTGTTCCTCGTAGCAGACCTTATTACACAGCAGATCACCTTCTCTTCCAGTTTTTTACAATAACACGTGAAGATGCATAATTATAGCCATCAACTTCAATGGAATGTTTGGAGACGTTTCATGCACTTGCAGGATGTTGGATATTAGAGGTATATTTTATGCACGCAGTTATGGATGATATGTTTGATAGTTTTGCAAGAAACTGAAGGTGAAAATGGTATTAAATTTGAAAAAAGTTGTTTTTGCCTGCAGTGTCTCAGGTTTTTCTGGCATGCACTGCATTTTAACATGGACTGCGAGAGACTGAATTATTAATTGCTGAGAAAGACTCAGTCATAATTTCGCAACTGCGTCAATGATTAACTCATTAACAGCTTCTCAGTCATTGCAGAGCACAAACCGGATGATATTCAGCGCTGGAAAGGTTTGAGTTGCTTAGTGAAAGGAGCAGATGTTGTTAGAAATGTATTGAAATAATAAATAACAAACTAGATTGTATTGAGATTCACCGCTGTAACTTTCAGAGTGCATAAGTTCAGATAGCAGCATATTTAACATTTGTAAATGGTTTAATTCAGATCTGAATTTCAATAGTCATGTCAAAGCAGTAAGTAAATCAGCACACTATCATCTCATAAACATTGCAAGGTGCTTTGTTTCAGATGACTTAGAAACAAGAGAGAAACTTCATGCTTTTATCATCAGTAGGGTGGATTACTGTAAGGGACTCCTCACTGGCCTCCTCACATTTTAATTATTTTAATCATTTATTTCCTTATTTCTTTTATTCTTGTTTATGTAAAGCACTTTGAATCACCATTGTGTATAAAATGTGCTATATAAATAAACTTGCCCTGCCTTGCTTTTAATACCATTTTTAATCCTATATTATACAGCTTGAATTTTCATTAAAGGTTTGCAAAAGTTAAATGCAAAATCTGTGAACATTAAACATCCACAGCTGATTATACCAACATTTTTGATAATATGTAAATTGATGACCAAAGTTCTTATTTTATCTGATTTTAGGTATAAATCAAATCCCATTCGGTATAGGATTGAGTAAAAAAAAATCTATACATTTCTAATAACCTTTCTTCCAAATTTGACATGAAACTATTTTTCTCCACCTCTAATTGTTGTGACTGAAAACAATTTTTTTGCAACAAATATTGATTTCTGAACCGTTCCGAACTCAAAACATTGATATAGTATTGTCTTTTATTACAAAATATAAGGTCAATACCTGACAAAAGTCTTGTCACCTAAGTTTTAGGAGTAACAAATAGTAACTTGACATCTAGTTGATCATTTGGTATCAGAAGTGGCCACTATTACGCTTATTTTGACAAAATAAAATATGATCATGCTTTGATTTTTAAATTGTTTAATTAGGACAGTAAGGTCTGATTTTGCATCTTTTGCATGCCCCCATACTGAATGAAACCCCAAACTATGATTTTTGCTTCACCAAACTTGACTGATTTCTGTGGGAATCTTGGGTCCATGCTGGTTCCAATAGGTCTTCTGCAGTATTTGTGATGATTGGGATGCAGTTCAACAGATGATTCATCAGAAAAATCTACCTTCTGCCACTTTTCCAAATGATCAACTAAAAGTGAAGTTATTATTTGTTGCTCTTACAACTGATTTACAACAAGACATTTGTCAGGCAGCATAGAGGAAATATTACAAGTAATTTACAGATTAAAAAAAAAATTTTTTTAACTCTTTTCCAGAGCTAGAACAAGTTTTAAAGTTAAATAAATTTTATTTCAAACTAAAATAAAAAAGTGTCAACTTCTTAGTTGTTGCTCAAAATGAGAAAGGCATATTGGGCCAGTTGTGCAGACACAGATTAAAGCAAGGCCAGGGCTAAAATGGCACTGCTATAACTGACAGTGAAATTTAATCTTGGATTTGACATAATCTGCGTCTGAGAAACAGTTCTTTGTGTGTCTTTTACTATCAGGCAGAGAACAGACAGGCACAAAGAAGTCCTGTTTCCAAAAGCTTTTATGAATGAAATTCAGCACACAAGGCATCAACATAAAGAGGAAAACAGGCATTATCCCTTGGACCAAAACAGCAAAATAAAAGATTTCATTTGTATTGTGCAGCACACAGCAGAAAATACTGCAGAAAATATTAAACAAAACACAAAAACTTACAAGAGAATACCCAATAAAAGGGGAAATTATGCACAAATAAACACAGCAGAGTTGTATAAAGTTTTGTAAAGAAAGCTGATATTACATGTTTTCTATTTAAAGAAATATAATATAACATAATATATATATATATATATATATATATATATATCATATATATATATATTCGCATTGAAATCTCTTAAATTTGACACAAGGTCAATCCTAGGCATTGACCTTGAGTTAAATATAAGTTAATTGATTGCTTTATGACTCTCTCTCTATCAGCAAGGCCTCTAAAGTAATCCACTCTTTAACCTTCATCGGCACAAGTACAATCTAAAAATAAATTTGAACTCGGTCAGTTGCAGAGTAATGTCTAATAATAATCATGAAAGGATAATTATCCGTGTACATGACACAGACAACGATTAGCAATAACAGCTATGGGAGTCACATGAGGGAATTTCTCTCTATTCCCCTTCATTCACGATTATATCATCTCTTATCGTTTGTGTTTGTCAGTTTGTTTTAATATATGGTTATCTTCTACAAAGCAGAGAGGGCAATAGTAAAAATAAAATATTAACACACCATTATTGACGAGTGCTGGATCTAATGCGTCGAGTATCCTCCGCAGAGAAGACTGCAGTTTCCAGTATTGACCAATGGCAGGCAGCACTGAGCTTCGGTCGGCTTTATCAACCGAGCTCTGTAGAGCCATTAATACGACAGTGTGAGACCAAAAACAGCAGGGTACACACTTCTGTTAGAAGCTTTTGAGGGAGAACATTCAAGGAAATGTAGCAAGTTTGTATCCTGAGGTTTTGTCAAACTTAATTGCAACCATTTTAGTGTTGAAAGCAGGGCAATATTTCGCCCTCCCATTGTAGGCCATGAGTTACAGGATTTGACTGAATGACTCAATCCTTAATGTTATTTCTTGTTCTCATTTTGTCTTTCTCATTTTCTAATTTCCTTCGCTTCCTGGCAGTTGCACAAACTTGACCCAGCTGTATGACGCATCTCAGAAATGGAGAGAGAGAGAGAGAGAGAGAGAGAGAGAGAGCTGGTTGCTGCTGGAGCAGATAATTGTATTTATTGTGGTGATGATGAGGATGATAACTGACCTCACCGAGCTTCCTATGAAGATTACCTTAATTTTACCACCCTGATGGTCACAATCTGCCCATGTGTGTCAGCAAAGTACCAGTTGTCACAGCCTAAAGAACCGATTTCTTAAATTTTGGTACATAAGTGAAAATTACAAATTCAGATGCAATTAGTGTGTGTCGTTAGGGTAAAGTCATCTTGTTTATAACAATTTCTATAAAACAGATATTAATAAAACATTACAGAAAAAGAAAAATCCCTGGAATTCAGAAGTGAAATTCTGCTGATTTCCTTGGAATGGATTATCTATGTCTATGAGTATTAAAGTGAAGTTGATTTCAGAAGAGACGCTATATAATAGTTGTTTTGTCATTGACCTTGAGAATCGTTTTGTGGAGCTGAGGTTGTTTGCACTCCATTTATGATTTGCTCATCCATTTTTTTTTAAAATATCGAGAATCACAATGGAAATAAGCCATTAAACATAGTTTAGTTTAATAAGTGTGTTATTTTAATGATTTTTTTAAATCATTTTAATAATTATTTTAAATAATGTTGAAATACTATTA